TCCAGTGCCCTCTATCCAGAAAGCTAACATGGCCTTCACTTCTTTCTAAAGTTATTTTTTAACTTTATTTCTTATTAGTATATATTTGTCATATATATGGATCCCATTCAGCATAGAGAATTTGTACGTGTACCTAATATAATTTCATTCTATTTTGCCCCCATTCCTCTCCCCACCCTTCAGCCCCTCTCTTCCCCATTTACAAAAGCTTTCTTTCCATTGTTTCCTTCCGTTCTTTTTTACCTTTTCCTTCCTTCCCGTCCCCATTCCCTCCTCCCTTGTTCCGCTTCCCACTTGGACATTTTCTTCTTACTTCCCAACATCTATCGTCCATTTGGGATCTTATTTACACTTTTGGTTTTTCACACCAGAAAACCATGCAATATTTGAACATGAGAGTTCTGTTTTTTTCACTTAAAGCCATGATCCCAACCTGCACCCGTTCACTTAAAAATGTCTAAAGTTTATCCTTCCTTATGGTAGAATAGTACTCCATTGTATATTAAATAGCACATTTTGTTTATCCATTCATCATTAATGAGCACCTAGGCTGTTTCCAAAATTTGATAATTACAAATTGTGCTGCTATAAACATGGGTATGATATCACTGTGTTATGATGCTTTCAATTCTTTTAGGAAGATACCAAAAAAGGGATATTTGGGTCAAACAGAACCTCCAGTTCTAGTTTTCTGAGGAATCTCCATGCTGATTTCCATAGTGGTTATGCCAACTTATACTCCCACCAACACTGGAAAAGGATTTCTTTCCCCATAGCCTTGCTAGCATTTGTTATTGGTTGATATAGTGATGACAGCCATTCTTTCTGAAACGAGGGAGAACCCCAGTGCTATTTTAATTTTCATTTCTTGTGTGACCCATGATGTTGAACATTTTTTCATATATTTATTTGTTGTTTGTATTTCTTCATCTAAGAATTTTCTATTCATTTCAGATATCCATTTTTGAATTGGGTCTTTAAATTTGAGGGGTGTCACTTTTTGAGTCCTTTATACATTCTAGATATTAGTCTTTTGTCTGAGGAATAGCTGGTAAAGTTTTTTTCCCATTCTGTGCATTGTCTCTTTGTTCTGTTGGTGATTTCTTTTGCTGTGCAAAAGCTTTTAAATATGATGAGATTCTAGTTGTTGATTCTCTGTAATATTTCCTCTGGGTTGGGGTTTTGTTCATAAAATCTTTGCCTACAACTATGTCTTCAAGAGTTTTACCTATTTTATCTTCCAGCAGATTAAGTGTTTCTGTTTTAATATTTAGGTATCTGATCAATTTCAATTTTAGTTTTAGTGCATGGTGAGAAATGTGGGTATAGTTTTTTTGTTTTTTGGTTTTTTTTTTCCGGTACTGGGAATCGAACTCATGACCTTGTGCTTGCCAGGCAGGTGCTGTGCTGCTGACCTAAATCCCCAGCCCCTCTGTAGGTGTAGTTTTAATCTTCGGCCTGTGAGAAGCCAGTTTGCCCAGCATCATTTTTAAAGAGGCTGTCTTTCTTCCGGTAAGGAAAACGACCCTCACTTTAAGGGACAAATACAATTCTGTAATCATAGAGTTAGATATTAAAGGATGTGTTGGGAGCTGAAACTATGAATTTCTAACTGAGAACTGGGCTCTCAATCTCTCTCACATGCACTTGGCCACATCTATGGTGCCAGAGAATTTTGAAATTCTTTGTCAGACAAGTCAGCTAAAAAGGACCTGTTGCTTATGTTTCTGATGCTCAAGGTTGGCCTCTTCTCCACCAGGAGGCAGCATAGTTCAGTCCTAAACCTGACTTTTCACCACCCTTCTAGTCAGGAATTACTTCAAAGTTCTTGCACAGCAACTTTACCCAGAGCAGGTCCTGAGCTCTTACTAGTGGTAAGGTTCATCAGGCTCAAGGAAAAGAGAAGCCAACCAGCCAGTTACCTGCAGCAATAGATCTTACTGCAGGTGGGATCCAAGCTGTCAGAGTGGATGTCTTACAAATCTTACAGACTTCACCCTCTTAGAAAGCAGAATCATGACAAAAAGGGTGAGGTCGCTTTCCTGGCAGAGGGCAGAGTCAAAGCCTGCAGCTCTCATTTTGGTTTCTGCCCCCTTTACCCCCAGGGAAGAGGGAATTATCCCTGATCACCCAGTCACTTCATCTAGGTCTTTAACACATGCAAATTTTGATGTAAAGTCAGAAAATGTTCACAGACTATTCAGAGATATCCATGTGATAATGTCAAATAAGCTATTAGATATGCAAGTCTGAAGTTCTAGGGAGCAGTCCGGCTGGTAGTAAGGAAGTTGGTGCTAACATTATTGACATGGCCTCTATGGTCACGAGACTGAACAGGCCAAGCAGAAAAATAATACAGATGAGAAGAGAACCAAGACTTTAGCAGCAAGAGGTCAAGTAAAAGAAAAGTAATGCAAAGAGTTTTGAGTTAATGCATAGGTTAATTATGTTTTCCAAGTATTTAGTTGTTAAACATGAGTTTAGAGTCTAGGTATTTCATTTAGTGTGTTAGAAGTGAGAAGTAGGGCTGGGGATGTACCTCAGCATCACAGTGCCTGCCTGGCAAGCACGAGGTTGTGAGTTTGATTCCTGGTACCAAAAAAAAAAAAAAAAAAGAATAAGTTAGAAATAAAATGGTGAGCAGAAAGTATAGGTATGTTCATCTCCCAGATAGTCCACATTTGCTTAATTTTAATAAAGTGATATACAACATGGCTTAAAAAGAAATTCAAATTTTTCTTCTAGAAAAAAAAAATATATACTGTATATATATGAACATATACATTCATCATATTTTTGCATATCTTCATATATCTAATTTTTTGTTATATTTTGCTTTATTTTACTTTTGCTGACCTAGAGATCAAACCCAGGGATTTTTACATGTTAGACAAATGTTCTGTCACTGAACTGTGTATCCCTAGCCCCATACAGCCTTTTTTTCTTATAAAAAATAAACTGTATTTAAATATTGTTGTGCATTGCTCCTCTCATTTGATTACCTAAAGAATTTTTCAAATTACCTACACATAGATTCTATGTTTTACTAGCTGTATAGTAGTGTATCACATGCTTATAAAATGAAATCTCACCAGGGATATAGCTTAGTGGCACAAGCACCTGCCTCGCAAGTGCAAGGTCCTGAATTCGATTCCTAGTATCCCCCAAAAACTTTTTAAAAAGCTGGGGGTGGTGGCACACCCTTGCAATCCCAGCACTTGGGAGGGTGAGACAGGAGGATCATTACAAATTTGAGACCAGCCTGGGCTACAAAGTGAGCTCAAGTTCAGCCTGAACTGCATGGCTAGACCCTGTCTCAAAAAATAAAAATAAATAAAAATAAAAATTTTACAAAAATGAAATCTCACTAACAGTACATGAGAAGATCTGTTTTCCAACATATTCATCAACAATCAGTGTGATCAAAATATATTTTGTGAGAGTGTATCATTGAAAAATTAATATCTCATTGATCTTCTGCTTCTCATCTCTTCTTCATAGATTTATTGACCATTTACAACTGTTTCTGTCTCTTTCTGTCTTTCTGTTTCTCTCTGTCTCTCTATCTCTCTCTCTTTCATTTTCCCAAAAATGTTGGACATTTTGGGAAAGGTGAATGAGTCCACACTATTTTCGAGAATATATTTTAGGGATGACTGTAATCATGAGCACCTGAATAAGACAAGTAAAGAAACACTTGAATAAGCAAGAACCAAAAACAAATTCCCGTGTGCCCCAGGAGCACAACTCTGAGGTCTCAGCAACTGGGTCCCCTTCCCTGAACGCCCCCTCTTACAGAATCCTGTTCTGACTCTCTTCCAGTCCTCACTTTCCCCATAGGGCCATGAGCTCATAAATCCAGTGTACGAGACTGGAGCTGCTGTGGGCCTCGCTCCAGACCCCCAAAATCCTTGCTCAAATGTCCATGATTTGTCTTCTTTTTATTTATTTAACAATGTAGAGGATGGAGTCAGGGCCTTGCTCATGCTAGGCAAGCACTCTAACACCAAGCTACATGCTCATCCCCTAGCTGTCACTGAGACTGTCCCTGTGTGTCCACAGTAGCTCTCAAAGGCCAGTGAGTAGTCTGAGTGGTCAGTGTAAGGGCACAACACACAGCTTGGACGGTATGGGATCCAGTGTCTGCAGCATGCACATGGTCCCTCCTAGCACAGGTTGAAGCCCGGGCAGGAAGAGAACCATGGATAGACTGCAGGGGCTGTAGCATCTATTTAGTTTGTGCTTTTACTTCATGTCCTGCAAATGTAAAGGACATACCTGCTTTCTAGGGGGAGAGAAGTTCCTAGTTACTGAGGTTGTGGTGGAGGAAGAAAGGGAAAAAGCAAATATCAAAGCTTCTCTTCCACCACCGTATTAGGTAACGATATTGGTTCAGTCTCAGAACCTCCCCCATGCCAAGTGCTCAGCCAGAGACTGGAGGTATGAAAGCAAATCGCACAGGGTCCCTGGCCCTGCCTTCCACCCTCCAGGGTCTCTCAAAATCTCAGGATACAATCCAGACTCTTTCTGCCACTGGTTCTCCTCACTTCCAACTTTGCTCCAGCCACACCAAGAATAGCCTTCCAAACAGTCCTTTTCCATTTTCCACTCCAAATCATGGTTTCCATTTCTGGGTCTGAAAAAGTCCTCACATACACACCTGCACACCCACTTCTGTCTCCATTTGCCAAGTCTCAGCCTAAATGTCACTGTTTTCAAGAAACATTTCTGACCCCAAAGTGGGAAACTATATCCTATTGCTCCTATACACTTTACTTTTAAAGGAAAAAGCCTGGTAGATACATTACACACTCAGTACATTGTTGTGCTTTAGGCTTGTGTTTTAGCAGATAGAACGCTTGTGGGTTAGCTAGAAAGCTTTCCGTCTTCGGGGAAAGAAATCAAGTACAGCCACACAGCTCAACCAGCAGGGGGCACACGCGAGTCAGTCACAGTATTGGGAGCATTATGGTGTCATAGAGGATCAGAACCTTGGCACTGGGAAGTAACTATTTAAGTCAGAGGACTTTGGCTCCTGATAGTCATGGACTCACTAGGCTGCTAAGGAGCACCCTTCATCTACACTTAAGGGGAGAAGCCAACTATGGGAACTGTGAATTAAAAGTCTGAAGAGAAACTTGTGGCCAGACCAGGTATCACCAAGAAGACTTTTCTTGTGAGTTCTCTCCATGACTTGTCCCTATCTCCATTACTTATTTATGGGGCCTACGTAGTAGGATGCAGTGTGCTAGACCTGAAACACTGAGTGGTAAGAAAGACAGGAAGCTTGTGCTGGGGAAACTAGCAGACTAAAGAAGACAGATAATAATAGTCTCATAAAATGTAAATATTTAGTACAGGAGGCACCAAGAAAGCATATCGGGGGACTAAACCTATAGGCCGAGGAAGTTTTCCTCAAGGGATTGATATTGGAGTAGAACTTCCGGGAGAATAGCGTTTAGAACAGAGAAGGGTGCTGAGGGCGCTGAGGACATGTTCTGAACAACAGATGGAGAGCAGGGAGAGAGCGGGTGAGGAGGGGCAAGTAAAGGGAATGAGGTGTTTTATACCTGTATTGATTGATTCCCCACAATGAATGTGATCATTATGTGCTGCCAATATGCACTCATAAAATCTTAAAAGAAATCCAGAAAGAGGTGAGCAGAGTTCAGCAGCAGGATGCTTGGAGCCAGTCTGATGACTGTGTAAGAACAGTGGCTGGAGAGGAGGCCAGGCTGGTTGGCAGAGTCAAAGAGAGGGTAGTCCATGGGGCTGGGGATTTAGCTCAGCGGCACAGTGCCTGGCTAGCAAGCGTAAGGTTGTGAGTTCGATTCCCAGTACCGGAAAAAAAACAAAACAAAGCACCAAAACCAAAAAAAAAGAGAGGGTAGTCCTGTCAGGGGCCTGGGGTCTTGGACTTGGCACTATATTGGTCCTCCCCGAAACAGAACAGTAAGAAGACCTATAATGGTGCCAGCCCTGTGACACAGGTACTATGACATCAGACAGGTTTCCGAGGTAGGCAGTGCAGAGCTAGGTTAGGACAGAGGGGTCCTGAAGCCTGAAGAGAAGGTTGTCCTAAAGAAAAAGAACCTTTTGGAGGAGCTGGGGGTTTAGTGGCAGGGTTGTTGTTTGCAAGGATCAAAGACCAAAGGGGAGGGGATTCAAAAAGTTTCTGGATTTTAGAAGAGGAGCACCCTCAGGAGGCCTGTGACATGGATGTCTCCTGATTAAAGGGGTGTGGCACTGCTGACCAGGCAGCAGGGTCACAATGGCCACAGTGCTGGCACAGGGGGTGGGGCCTGTGTCCAGGGTTGTGAGGCTGCTGAGGGGCCTGTCATTGATTGCCCTGTACTGCAGTGGACAAAACTGATTCCTAAGCCACACTCCATCTTTGAAGTGGTACAGCCTCCGTGTTGAGGACCTATTCCCAGGCTCTGAGCATAGAGGGCACATTTTCAGGGGATTCTGTGGAGCAACAAGATGAGCCCTATGGCTGGAGCTCCAGGACTGCGATCCTTGCACCCACGGTCACTGCGGTGGGGATTGTTGCTGCAGAATAAACCCAGCCTAAATGAAGAACGATGGACCCTAACAAGCTGGTCTTTCAAGGGTCAGGGATGCTTGAAATTGTCCACTTAGCACACCTTCAGGGGAGAGAAAGAGGAGAAATATAGAGATAGAATGAAAGACAGGAGAGTAGTAGACACAAGGAAGCAGAGAGAAGAAACAGTAAAGGATGTAACAACAAACACATGGAAAAGCAACAGAAAATAAAAACTAAAGAGTTTCCCTCCTCCCTCTCTCCTCTCTGAGTGCGGCTGAGCCTGGTTGCAGGTCTGGGCCCTGAAGAGAGTGGATTCAGACCATAAGGGAGCAAAGGCTAACTCGCACTCCCTGCACATTCCCACACCCAAATCTTACTCCCTGCGACCGCGTGGGCTCCCAAGTAGACATGTACACACGTATGTGTGCACGTGCTATCAAACTGCCTTCAGTCCTGCAAAGGTGTCAGGAAGGCTTCCTGGCCCTTTTTTGACTTTCCTCCTCTTTGTTTTTATGCTGATGTGACTCTGCCCTACTTCTGTCTCCCCATAGTTCGACCTTTCTCCCTCCTTTCCCCTCCCAGGCAAGTCAGGGCATCTCAGAACAGATCTGCCTCCTCAGCCTCTGTGTGGCACCTCTTGACCTGGAGGGAGGGACTGGGTGACTCGTCCCACCTCCCCACCCCCCCTGAGGATTGCTGCTCCAGCATGTTCCTCTTAAAAGCAGAAGACTCTTCCTGAAGTTCAGAATGACTCCTGGGCTACTGGCCAGCCTGGAGTTAGGAATGAATTTGAGCAGACATCTCACTCAGAGATGGTTTTGCCCCACCATGTGGGAGCTGGCCCTGGCCCAGTATGGGCTGCAGCCACATAGTGAGGGGCTTAGGAGCGTCATGGGGACTTGTGAATGACCCTTCTTTCAAATGTCTTTCCCTGGTGCTCTAGCCTGGGAGACTCAAAGCACTGTAAACCATAAAAGGGTCCCAGCCAGCTGCTCCTCAGACAGCATTTGGGAACCAGTACAACCTCCTCTGCATTTGCCAGAGACCTCCTTCCGGCAGAGAAAGGCTGAGACCAGGCTTTGATGGCTCAGAAAGCGGAGTAGAGAGAGACTGGGCAGGGCTGGGTTTGAGTGTCACTGTCTCCAGTGGGTGGTGGTGACAGCCACCCTTCGCTGAATGAGACCCAGTTTGTCCAGCATGAACCGGATTTAGGTGAATCCCCAGATGAGAAAGGTTGAGTCTGACATGCATCACCCGGGCAGCCAAGGCTCCAGGTCTATTATAAAGTCACAAGGGAGGTTCTGATAGCAAAGTAGGTCATCTGATAGGTGTGCTTTAGTAACTACCGGTTCAAGAATCCCACATGCTGTCAGAGGATGATAAATAGGGCTTTCTGTCTCACAGCAGTCACCCTTGGGAAGTTTAATGTGAAGAGGGATTTGTAGTTTCTGTGCGAGGAGTGGTCTCATCCGTAGGACATGGAAGAACAGAAAAAATCAGGCCAGCTGGTGCGTGCCTGTAATTCTAGCACTTTGGAGATTGAGGAAGTAAGATAACAATTTGGAGCCCAGCCTGGGCAACTTGGTGACTTAGTAAAACCCTGCCTCAAAATAAATAAAATAAAATAAAATAAATTGAGGATGAAGTTCAGCGTGAAGGCCCTGGGTTTAATCCACAGTACTACCCACCAAAAGGCAAACAAACAGAACTCTGAACATGAGGCAGTGTTTGGAGCAGGGGTATGAGCAGTGCATGGATGGTACAAAAACATGGCAGGTCCAGTGGCAGGAGACTGAGGTGCTACAGAAATAAGCACTATAGAGAAGCTGTTCATTCAGGCTCCAATTTGAAAGCCTAATAATGAAATATGAATAATCTCAGTTTGATCCAGCAAAACAGCTCTTGTCAGAAACCTCCAGTTCCTGCTTCCTTGCTGGCATGCTTAGATATGGACACAGGTGCACATGCGCGCGCGCGCGCACACACACACACACACACACACACACACAGAAATACAGCCTATGTTCTCAGTGGGAAGCCCATAACAGCAACTGGTTGAATTCAAAAAACTAGTTTGGGCTGGAGCTTCTTGTCAAAAGTTCTGTGGGTGCCAGAGGCTGGTAGGTGGCTGAAACCTCACGTCAGCAGTTGTCACCGCAACGCCTACACCTACCCTCCTCCACCTGCTGACAGAGCTCTGACAGACCTGGTGCCTCCCCCACACAGGGGTGTGGCCTGTGAGCTGAACCCTCAGCACGAGGTCCAAACTCATTTCCCTACTGCATCCACATGTGGCCCAGGACCAGATAACAACCAGGTCTCTGCTTGCCGAACCCTGGCTACTTCTTGACCCTCTGTCCTGCTCTGAAGCTATGACGTGGCTTTTAACCAAGTGCGTTAGAAGGAACGGGACAGAAACTTTTCTAAGGCAGCTGTCTTAGAAGACTGCCCAAGACTTGTCTTTCACTTTCTCAGCTGGGAAATGGCTCCCTAGGAGGGAAATAACACACTGACGTGTGAAACCATGAGGTTATGGGGCTGGTGATGTTTTCTGAAAACCCGGCTTTCCTAAGTCTGGCTCATCACCCTGAAGTTGGACGCATTTGGGAACTGAGGGAGGAGGAAATGAAAGCAAGCGCCCCAGCTATCTTTCTGACGAGAATATTCTTTTTGTATTCCAGGACCTTCAAATCTAAGGACAATGTGTGACCAGCCAAAATGCAACCAGAGCTGTCCGTCAAAACCGAGCTGCCCACAACCCCCCCCATGCTGCGCACAGAAGCCCCCTTGCTGCGCACAGAAGCCCCCTTGCTGCGCACAGAAGCCCTCCTGCTGCGCACAGACATCTCCATGCTGCCCGCAAAAACCATGCTGCCAACAGAAAGCTCCATGCTGCCCGCAAAAACCATGCTGCCAACAGAAAGCTCCATGCTGCATCCAGCCGCAGTGCTGTGATGTGAAGCCCAAGTCTGAGGATACTTGCCCTGGGAAAGATTCTGAACCCCCAGCACCGCAAACTGAAGAGCGGCTCAGAAGTCCACAAAGCACAGCCAAGCCAGGCACAGAGAGGCAGATAAAACCCAGCAAGTAGGTTGTTCCTGGAGCCATGCCCACCCCCTTGTAGAGTGGAGGATAACTGAGGGTCAGGCTAGACCTACGTTTAGAAAAGTTGTTGTCTTAATGACCACCACTGCCACCCAACTAGAGGGCCCCTATGTCTCTTCATAGCCTCCTCTTTGAGGGAGGCTCCCAGTTGGAAACGGAAGATTGAAAAGCCTGGATACATCTTTCCTAGTGATCCTGACATTTAGATAGCCAGAAATAAAAGAGCAATGAAAAGAAAATTGCCTTCCTTTATTTCTTTAGTTATTGCAAAGCTATCTTATTAGACTGGCCTAAAGTCCAAGAAAGTATTCTGAACTTGTTCTGAAAAGCCATGGGGCCAGAAAACTAGAATCCTAGAACACAGGGCCTCTGCTAAGCCAGAGTTCAAGTGATTAGCTCATGTTGAGTCTAAAATTAAAAAATTCTACATTTCTAGAATTGCTCCAGTCCTAGGCAAAGAGGGATGGTCAGTCCCGCAAGAGTCCCAGGGCCCTCGGGTCTTTGGGTAGCACATTCAACTCCAGACCAAGCAGAAGCACACAAGGCCTTTGAGGTGACTGTTCCCCCATCCCAGAGCTTTTAACGAGAGCTTGGACTCAGCCAGACATAGGCTAACAGGATGAACAGCTCTAGCACAAAAAATTCTCCCTATTTGGATTAGTTTGTGGGCAAAAATTCTTAAAAAGGAAGGACAATGTAAGACTACAGAGATTACACTCGGGTTAGTTCATTCTTCTTTCCAGGAGGACAGTCATTTCTCCAAAAGTTTTCACATAGTTAAAGCTCATTGTTGAAACTATAAACTGCTGCTTATGAAGCCTAGGCAATTGTGTTCCTGCAGTGAGGTGACTCTGATTGTTCCCAACCCTGGAAAAGGCAAATCCTGTCTCTCGGGTATAGACTTCCAGGAGAAGAGGGCAGGTACTAGGAGTTTCCCAACTGGCTGGAGACTTGCAGGTCAGAGACAGAATGCCACCATCCCTGCCTGCAGGAGTGCTGAGAGCAGTCTCCCGTGCCAGGCTGGGGAAGGTCTCCACGAGCCCGCGAATAGTGAGGGAATCCATGGTTGCCACTGTGGTTCAGCACGGCTCCTTTTCACAACCTAGGCCACTAAGTGACCTGGCTTGAGGGGTGGAGACAGTGGGCACTGGAGCTGTACCTCCAGACTTTGAGGAACACTGGACTCCAAGCCTTGCCAAGGAAAGAAAGTGGGGGGTGTCTCAACATGCTGGGCCATGCTGCAGGTCTCCATGATACATGAGGTGGGTAAAGACCTTGCGGGAGTTCAGCTGCAGGGTCCACTCCCTGTGGAAAGACAGTAGAGGAAAGAAAGCCTTTCGCCTGCCTTTCCCCTATGGGGGCCTTTGGTAATTTGCAGTTACGAAGCGCCCCTCACCCACTTCATGAGAGGTGAAGCTGCAGGGCTGTGGGGCCAACTGGAGCATGCTGCCCATTCCTTGGAGCCCATCTTTACTCCAAGCCCCAGGTCCCACTCTTTGCCACATCAGGCAGATTCTAGGCTGGGGTTTGCCATGGGGGGTCATCCCATACATGGGGTGATCTCTCTGAGAGGAAGCTAGTCCCTCCTCTGCTCCTCCCAGCCCAAACCATTGCCTGGCTCTTGTACTCAGTTAAATTATTTTAAGATTCAAACATGTTGCATGTTTCATGTTGTTCATTCGTTTTTATTGAGCAGTAAATACCCTCATTTTCTGTGTATACCACATTGTATTTATCCAGTGATGGACTTTTGGGCCCTTTGCAATATTTGGCTGTTACAAATAAAGACGCCATAAACTTTCATGGAAATAATCTATATATGGGCATAAGCATTCATTTATTTGAGTAAAGTCTTAAGAGAAAATGTGTTATGTACAGGTGCCTATTTTACTTTTTAAGAAATGGCACAACTATTTTCAAACTTGGTTTAGATATTTCACATTCCTCTTACAAGTATGTGGGAGTTTTGGTTGTATACCTACTCACCAATATTTTTTTTATGCTCAATGTTTCAAGTTGTGGAAAACACACAAATAGCATCTACTTTTACTAACGGATAGTGCTATTTCTTGTGGCTTTGACTTACAGTTTCTTAATGCTAATGATATGGTGCATCTTTGCTTTTGATTATTTGCCTCTGTCTTTGGGGAATTAACTTTCCAAATCGTTCCCCCTCTCTTTCTTTGCTGAGTTGTTTGATTTATTCTTGTTGACTGTACTCTAGTTGCTTTTCTGTTATTGGGACAAAATATCCAACACCCATAAGTTAAAGAAGGAGAAGTTTATTTTGGCTCACAGTTCCAGTGGATGCATTCCATGGTCAGCTGGCTCCAGGCAGAAACAGGATGGCAGAACACAGACAAGGCACTGTGCACAAGATAACTGAGAAGCAGAGACAAGAGAGAGGCCAGGGAGGCCAATACCCCATTCCAGGTCTGCCTGCAGTGACTCACTCCTGACCAGGTGTCACGCCGAACCTGAGACATTTGGGAGACATTTTAGGTTTAAACCATACCACTGAATACTGAGGATTCTTTGTCACAAAGTGATTTGCACACTTTTGCCAGAAAGTATGACTTATTTTTCCATTTTTCTTGTTTTTTGTTTTCAAGTAGGAATTCTTAACATTGATAAAGTCCAATTAAGCAATTGTTTTCTTTTATGAGTCTTTTTGTATCATATCTAATATATGCCTAACTCTTTTCATGTTTTCTTCTGAAGGTTATTTTATATGTGTGGTAAAAGGTGTGGACCATGGTTTATCGTATGTTTGTTTTGAAGGAAAGGAAGGTTTTCCTTTTCCCTGCTGAATTGTTTTTGCATTTTTGCCAGAATAACTGCCATATTTGTTTGTGTTTATCTCTCTACACTAGTACATTTGTCTCTCCTGACGCATATATATTATTTACTGTAGCTTTATAGCAAATCTTGAAGCCAAGTAATGTAAATCCTCATTTTTTTCAAAGGTGCTTTTAGCTATTCTAGAATCTTTGATGTTTTATATGAATTTTAGAATAAACTTTTCAATTTGTACCAAAAAAATCCTGCTAAAATTTTTGACTAAGCTTGAATTAAATTTATAGATTAAATTTTTGGGGAGGAGGATAGATATCTTTGCAATATTAAGTCATTTGATTCACAAACTATTGCTTAATTTACTTAGGTCTTTAATCTTTCTAAAATTATATAATTTTAATGAATGAAATCCACTCATACTTTTTATCATATTCCCCTAAACATTTCATAAACTTTGATAATACTGTACTATAGTGTTTTAAAAACTTTGTTTCTGATTATTCAGCTTGTATAAAGTTATTTTATATATTAATCTTATATACTGTTTATTCATTTTTTAAAGCTTTTCATAAATTCTATAGATTTTCTAATGTAATCTAAGCTCAGAGTGTTGTTTCTTTTCTTACAATGTGGGATGTATCTTATGTCTCTTTTTTCTGCTGTTTGAGGATATTCCTTTTCTTCCTACTTAGCAGCTGAGAATTTTTAGCAGAAATTGATGTTGGATTTCAAAAAAATACTTTTTCTGTCAGATGTTGACAAAATCATATATTTATTTTTTATCTATTCATTTGATGAATTGATTGATTGATTTTTGAGTGCTAAAACAATCTTGCATTCCTAAAAATAAACCTTTTTATATTAATCTTTTTGGATTTGATTTGGTAAAATTTGGCTAAGAAATTTGGCTTCTAAGTTAATGAAGATAATGATTTTCTTATTGATACTTTCTTTTCTTGTAATATCTTTGCCTTTTTTTGGTATCAAAGAATGTAGTTCTTATAAGATGAGAAATAGTCCCTTATCTTCAATTTTTCTGGAGCAATTTGTGGAAAATTGGTATAATTTCTTCCTTAAAAGTGTGATAGAATTCACCAGTGTGATCATTTGTGCTTGAAGGTTTCTTTGTAGAATGATTTTTAATTGGAAGTATTATTTCTTTAATTGTTTTACAGGTTTTCATACTATTTCCTTTGGAATTAACTTTGCTAATTTTTGTCTCATTGTGGTCTTTAAATTTATTGGCATAAACTTCTTCATAATATGCCATTATGGTTTTAAATATCCTTGAAAAATATAGTAAAGTTACCTCTTTCATTCTTGCTTTCCTGGCAAATGTTTTCATCATTTTTTTGACATACCCACAGTACCACTTTCTTGTTTCATTGGTTTTCTATGGTTATTTTCACTTTTCTATTTCATTGGTTTCTGCTCAAATCTTTATTATTTCTTGTTTGCTTTGATTTAATTTCTTTTTTTCCAATTTCTTAAGGTAGAAGACAAGGACACTATATTGAAATCCTTCCCTGTCTCATATGAGCATTTACTATAAATTTTGTTTAAAGTACTATTTAACTATTACAAAATTTTTTCATAATTGTTTTTATTATCCACTTCAAAAGACTTTTTAATTTCTTCTTGATTTATTCTTTAATCCAGAGGCAAATTAGTAATATTTCATTTTCCATATGTTGAGATTTTAAGAGACCTGTTGTTGATTTTTATTATTATTTTGTGATCAAATCATTTATGTTGTATGACTTGAAACTTTTTAAATTAATTGAGACTTGTTTCATGACTCAGATAGCACACTACCATAGTGAATCCTCCATCTTCACTTGAAAGTGCATTTTCTCATTAGGTGGAGAAGTCTACCAATGACAATTAGGTCAATTTGTTTAACAGAATGACTCAACTCTTCTACATCTGTACATATTTTCTGGCCACTTGTTTTACCAAGTATTATGTGAGTAGCATTGAACATAACTGTGAATTCTATTATTTCTTGCAATTCTAACCATATTTTGCTTTATATATTTTAAAACTCTCATTGCAAGCAAGTCATTTAAGATTTATTAAGGCCTCCTTATGAATTACCTCTTTGACAGTACAAATTGATATTCTTTGTCCCTGGCGATAACCTCTAAAACACATTCTGAAGTCAATTTACCCACTTCAGTTTTCTTTTGATTAGTGTTATTAAGACATTTCTTTATCTATCACTTCACTTTTAACTTAGTATATCTTTATACTAAAAGGCAAAATGTACTTGGATTTTCTAACTCAACCTGGTGATTTCTGACTTGTAATTAGAGTATTTAGATCAGTACTTTTAATGTGATTATTTATATGGTTGAGTTTAAATCTATCATCTTGTTACTTGCTAAACTCTCCCATTTTATTTGCCTTTGCCTTTCCTCTTGTTTAGGGTTGAGTCATTACA